GAGAGGTAAGTAAATGTTTGGGAGGAACACAAGGTCCTATCCAGACCTGCTTTCTCCCATATATATTTCACACATTTCATCTCCATCTCTCTCCTTAGCCAAATTGTCATCTCCCCACTCAGTCCCTACATCTGAATTCATCCACTATCACATTGACCTGCCCTCCCCACACCTCCCTCCCTCCAGCAACCAACAGAACATGTCTCTTCTCCTCCTACCCACAATCCCCCATCATTGCTCTTCATATGTACATATCCAGACATATTCCTTTTTTTAAACAAAGCCATCACCTCTAGATCCACCCAACTCCCCTCTCATGCATACACACTCCACCTTCTTCCCAGCTGTATGGCTCCCCTACAGGAGATCTTCCCCTCCCAAACTCCAATCCACAGGCCAGTGCCAGTCTGTGGGCTTCCTTCAACTGGGTCGTGGACACAGATCTCCATCCATCCCCCCCCCGCATGGGTGTGTGTGCTGTGCTTGCGGAGGGGGCGTGTCATGCTCACGGGTGGGCGCGTCGCACTTTCGTGGCTCCCCATTGGCTGGCAGGCAGGCTAGCGGTGCCTGCTACGGGCGCTTTGTTCTCTCGGACGGAACGTTTAGTCCCCCTTGTTGGCCGTGGCTCTCTTTGGCCCCAGTGGTGGCGGCAAACAAGCAGCAGCAGGAAAGGGAAAGGAAAGGAAGAGGGAGGGAGGGAACAAGCGGCAGACCATCAAGATGGACAGATGGACGGGCGCGAGCTCTCCAGGGCAGGCTGCGAAAGGAGATGGGGTAGGGGAGCGCGCGCAAGTAGGCTGATCTCTTGACATCACCCCCTCCCATGGCATGTCTGGGCAGGAAGCGGAGGAGGGCCAGGCGGGAGGAAGGAGAAGCATGCGACCAGGTTGCAAGAGGGGCCCCTCCTTCACCTCAGCTGCAGAGAGGACGAGGCGACAGTAGCAGCAGCCTCGCCAGGTGACCAGCAAAGAGTGTGGGGGAGAGAGAGAGAGAGCTAAAAGCAGAAGCCCCCGAGGGGGGAGAGAGAGAGCGAGCTAAAAGCAGAAGCCCCGATGGCGCCAAACCCCTGAGGGAGAAGACTGCCGGGCAGGGAAAGGGTTCCCCTTCTGGACGCATGGGCATGCGTGCGTGTGGGGGGGTTGAGATCCATGTCTGTGGCCCAGTTAAAGGAAGCCCACGGACCAGCGCCAGGCCATGGACCGGGGGTTGATGACCCCTGTTTTAAAGGGATGCTCCATGCTTGGGTATATAACCCACAGAATCTGCACCTGGTACCATCCAATTTGGGACTCAAAGAAGCCAAGATTGATACCCAAAATATAACACAGGTGTCTAGGAAGCAACAAGGCGATTTTACTTGTCCACCAACCAAGGACTGTTCTGATCTTTAACAAAGCTCATTTTCATCTCCTTCTTTAAAAAGAGATGTGTCTTCACTCAAATTCAAGAACAGCCACTGCTTATAATGATTACTTATGACGTTGTAGACATTGTCTAGAGGGGCAGGGAGTACTTATGACATATTTCGCTCTAGCCATCTGTTTGAAGAAAACCAGCACTTAACTTTTTCTCATTGTATGACTACACACACCACACTTCTATACAAAAAGATTTTCACTGTTGGAATTAAGTAAGATATCCTGTAATTATCTATATTTGGTGACAAATTTGGAATTTTAATATGTAGGACTGCCTATCTATCAATGGTGTTTTTAAAAAGCGGGGTATATAATATCTCTTTAGTCCTATTGTGTATGCTTCATAGACTCACCATTAACATAGTACCTCTGCCGTGCCTTCTGTAAATATAGAGAAGTGAGTGGAATCCTAGATATACCCACAAGTAAGCCCCACTAAGTACAGTCGGACTTAATTCCAGGTGAATGTGCTCCAGATTGCAGTGTAAGACGTGGTTGTTAAATGAGCCAGAGATTTTTAATAGCAGAGTTGCGAGCTGCAGCTGGTTTCATTTTATTCTAAACCTCATAATTTTATTCCACAATTATTGTTTTTTGAAAAAAAAACTATAGCTCCTAGAGTAATTCACTTCATGGGCCACAGAGAAAGTCCTTTTACGTGCAAATATAGTCTTCAAAATATGAACAAGAAATCTTTAGGTAAACCTGTTCCTTATTTAAATATTTTATAGTGATTTACCATTCTGAATTGCTACAATACTTTCTATGTTTGAAAATGGAGGAGTTAATGGGTTATGGAGCTAAAAGAGTGCAAGGAAAATTTGTTAACATTAAGAATAATGTTGCTTGCAGTTTTATTCCACCTATTCTTACAAGGCACTGTGCTTCTCTGTTACAGAAAACTTCAAACCTCCTGTGGTGCCTTAAGGACCAGCTTCATGGATTAGAGCCCACTTGGTTTATTTTAATTGTTTAATCTTTTTTACTGTATTTAAACTGTTGTAAGCTGCCCAGAGACCTTTGGGTAGTGTGGGCAGCATATAAATAAAATAAAATAAATTTGGAAGAATAACTCGTACTGTTCTTAATTCCTTTTCAAGCAAATAGAATGACAAATCTTGCTGAAGGAAGATAAGCAAGATTATACAGAAGTACAGTGGTGCTTTGCTTAACGGGCGCCCCGTTTAACGACGAAATCGCATAGCGATTAACTTTTTGCGATCGCTTTGCGATGTTCCCTATGGGGAAAAAGCGCTTTGCGATGATCGGTACCCTGTTTCGCTTACCGATCAGTGCAAAGCGATCATTTTTTAAAAGCTGATCGGCGGTTCCAAAATGGCCACCGGGTAAAAAGAATGGCTGCCCGCTGTTTTCTGGGAAGGATTCCTCGCTTACCGGGCAGCGAAAATGGCCGCCGTATGGAGGATTTTCGCTTTAAGATGAGTCTGAAGCCCATAGGAACGCATTGAAGGGGTTTCAATGCATTCCTATGGGCTTTTTAATATCGCATAGCGATGAAATCGCTTTGCAGCGATTTTTGCTGCACCGATTATCGTCGCTATGCGAGGCACCACTGTATCTCTTTGAGAGCATTGAAGGGTACCTTGATAGGCATGATTTGGTAGATGCTTGTTTACTTATATTTACTAAATGCTTTTAAACAGTATATAGTATCTTCTCAGAGATTCCTGAGCAAATGTAGCAATCATGGGATAAGCAGAGGGACCCTCTTTTACAGCTGACTGAATAGGAGACAAAGAGCGAGGGCAATTCACAGGACTAGTAAGTAATTCTGACCACTGTAGTCCTCAAAGGATATTTCATAACATCAGAAGGGGTGAAGGACCACCTAAATCAACAAGGGTCTCTAGAGCAACTCTGTGAGAAAAGGCTACCAGGTAGAACTTGAACAATGACCCTTAATGGTGGGTGGGAAATTCAGAACAGATAAAAGGAAGTCCTCTGCACAGTGCATAATGAAACTGGAAATGGCAAGATGGAGGATAATGGTATGAATGGCTATATGTATACACTTCTTGTGTCAAAGGCAGTATGCCTTTCAATATCAGTGGGTGAAAAATACAGCAGGAAGATTCTGTTGCACTCACGTAGTGACTCATTCATAGGGCCGCCATAATTTGGAAGCAATTTAAGGCTGTGATCACACTAGTAAAATGTGCCTGTGTTGCCCTGTGACTGCAGATCACAGAACTGTCATGCTTTGTGGCCATGTGACATATATTCCAAGACCTGTGTCCCTACATGTTTTCTAAGTAAACTGGAGCGTCCCTCCACTGCTGGTAGCTGACCCGAGGGGCGCACTGGCAGGTGGATGGGCCTGCACTGGTACATCCAGCCCAAACCTTCTTCCCCGGTGATAGCAGTGGAGGGAAACTCCGTCGTGGTTGGAAGCATGCCATATTCCCGGGCATGGGTGAACAATGCACTGCCTGGCTGCCCCATAAGTGACTCATGGGGCTGGATGCAGCCATTCTCACTGGTGGTGGGAGGCCTTCGCCACTGCTGTAATGGCCGCCAGAAGGGTGGCAAGCTGGGTGCTCACCGGGCCGGGTGCAGTGAAGTCTGCCCCTGCCATCTGTGCCCTTCCACCCATGGCATGCACGGTTGGTTGGGAAATGCCTCGCTGGCACTGGTGCCTGTGGGTGAGTGGGCCTCACCCGGAGTATCAATCCCCTCTGTCTCAGGCATTGGCAGGCAGGCCTTGCCTATCACCTGGGAAGTTTTAAAAAGAGATACAATTTAAAAGAGCTCATCAACAGTATCAAGCAGCTACTTTTCTGAGAAAAAAAAATCCAGGTACAGTACAGCCATGCGCACCGGAGACCTGTAACAGAGTTCACATCAAGGCCAGAACATCAAAACAACAGCAACAACAACAACAAAAATAGAAGGTTGATGGTAGAAGGGAAATGTTGCAGAACATCAACAAAAATGGAAGGTTGATGGTAGAAGGGAAATGTTGCAATTATCATGGGGATGGAAGAACAGTTCTGGTAATGACCCTATGTCATCTAATTTCAAATGTTAATTTTGATATAAAAGGGAGAAAACCAGACAACATTTCGTAGGGGTGACTCCAGCCGCAAAGTCATATACCAACTGGTAGGCCACTCTGGAACCAGAATGGACCTCTGGCCTGATCCAGCAGGGTTCCTTCTCTGTTCTTATGCGGACCATCAGCTAGGTTCCATTCCACCTCTTCTTTTTAACAGTCCATTCCTTCCTGTTACGCTAGATTTCATATCCCATCTATTTATTTATTTAAAACGGTTTCTATACTCCTTTTTTTAAGACATCAAATCAGTTTACAGTAAAAGGCAAACAACAAAATGGCAGCTAAATGGAAAGGGATCAATAAAAAAAATGACAATTCTGTCTATAAACCAGCAATTCACTGAAGCTATAACTAGCTTTTAAATATTGTCTAATGATGTAAAGCCACCTTGGGCTCTTTTTAAGAAGAAAGGCGGAATGAATGAATGAATGAATGAATGAATGAATGAATAAATAAATAAATAAATAATGACAGAACTGAACAAAAACCCAAAATCATGGGGCGCTTTTACCAGGTTTATTTGCCTGCTAGCTTTCAGTGGATTACAACCCGACACTCAGTTTGCACTGGAAGCCCAAGAAGGAACGGCTGTACAGTACAGGACTTCCCAACTGGCCTCTTCCCTGACAAGAGGGAAAGGCGGCCGCCTGAGCGCACGTGAGAACGAAGCCAAACTCGAGGACACGCCGCTGCGCGCGCCCAAAAAGCTTTCCAGGTAAGCTCTCCGGGACAGTTTCAGACGAGGAAGGAGGAGCAGGACCCGCTTGGGCTTCGGGAGGAGGCGAGATGTGTGTGTGTGGGGGGGAAGGCGTCTTCCTGTCAGCTACGAAGCGAAGGAGCTACTCCGGACCTGAAGCAAAGTGGCTGCCGTGCCCGTGGAGGGGGGAAAGGGGAGCCCGCCCTTTTCGCAGGAGACGAGTCGCCCGAGCCCGCTCCGTTCCCTTGCCCTTCGCGGGAGCTCTGCCGCGGACACTTGTTTCAAGCAAACCGCTTGCATCGCAGCCCTGAATTCGGAGGCAGACGGGAAGAGAAACTTTGAACTCTTCCCACGTCACCTCTGGCGGCTTCCGAGCCGTTCTTGTAGGATGGTTGACGAAGGGACGGAGGGCGAAGGGTCGCGTCGGAGTCTCTCCCGCGGCCTCTTTATTCATTACCCCTTTGCAAGTCTCGGCTAGGGAGAGCAGACCTAGTGTCTGGAGGGTAAGTCCCGAGGGGCGTAAATGCCACTGAGCCAGTGGGTCTACTTTAGCTGAGACTGACCACCGGATACTCGTCTCTGTTCCCTGTGAACTTCCTCCCCCCCCCCCCCNNNNTCTAGAGGAGCGCTGCTGCTGCTGTGTGTATGCACGGATGGGTCTTGCTCCATTTTGGACCAAAGGGGCAACCCCGGAAAAAAAGAGGCTGTTTTGCTCTCATTGGGTTGGGTAATCCATATGTGAATTTTATAGGGTCAAGACCCAAGAAGTGAGGGCAGCTCCCCTCCTTTGCAGGAGGAGCAGAGCCCTGCTCCCTCACCTGGTGCTGGAAGAGGTAACGTGGGAAAAGGAACCGCCCGCGGAATCCCGGAAAGCCGACACGCAAGTTTAGTCGGGTGTTATTTAGCGGAGCACCAGGCCTCTCTGCCCTTGTGTTTTTGTTGCGATAACGAGTAGGTTGTGCTTTGCAGTTCTCATTGGTTTTTAGAAGGGCGGGGAAGGAATTAGTGGGGATAGTTCTGACGTAAACACAAACATCCCACCTACTTTAATGAATGAACAACGTGAAAATCTAACTCGGAATTTAGATGGAAAAAAACACGCCCTTTTGTGTTATTCTCCCCATAGTTCTTTGCACTCACTTTATTTATTTTATTTATTATTAGACTTTCAGCCCGCCCCTTTAAAGGAGGGAAAAAAATAAACTTTGGCAAACTCAGTTTCTCGTCTTTACTGCCCGCCCCTTTAAAGGCGGGAAAAAAAAAACTTTGGCAAACTCAGTTTCTCGTCTTTGTGCTCCCCAAACATACCGAAACATATTTTTTGTCTTTTGAACAACAAAAAATGTGATATGAAATTAAACTTGAATGCAGAGTGTAACAAAGATATTTAAGATTAAAAATAAGCAGAAACAGTGTTTTTCTTGAGAATGCTGGCCCGCCCCTTTAAAGGCGGGAAAAAAAAAACTTTGGCAAACTCAGTTTCTCGTCTTTGTGCTCCCCAAACATACCGAAACATATTTTTTGTCTTTTGAACAACAAAAAATGTGATATGAAATTAAACTTGAATGCAGAGTGTAACAAAGATATTTAAGATTAAAAATAAGCAGAAACAGTGTTTTTCTTGAGAATGCTGAATGCTAGGAACAGCATTCATAACAAATTTGTTTAGCATCATACGTACAAATGGGGGCTTTGCGGCGATCGCGTCTCTGCGATCGTCGCAAAGCGATTTTTCCCCATAGGGGCCATCACTAGCCGATCTCTCCAGCGATTGCCCCAAACCCCTCGTTATGCGGATTCGTCGTTAAACGGTGCGCTTACTATGCGGGGCACCACTATCTTTTATATGAGGTAATAGATCATAGTCTCCTTAAACAGTGCTGTACTAACTAGCTCCTATGCGGGGCACCACTACCTTTTGTATGAGGTACGGTAATAGATCATAGTCTTAGGTGCTCCTTAAACAGTGCTGTACTAACTAGCTCATCACTTCCTTTTGTTTCTGCTACTTGGCAGGGCACTTTCTTTTCCTCCTGACAGCCACATTGCTTCTTTGCTCCATTTCCTGGCACTACTTTGAAGTACAGTACTGTACTTTTATTTATTTTTGTAACAAATGTAGAGGCTGATGGAATAAGTTTAAAGGTTTCTTCACCTCTCCTTTTCCTCTTCTTAGACTGCAGTTTCAAACACTCAGTTAATCACCTCACTATATTCAGAGTCAGTTTTGTTTGAGGAACTACGTATAAAAAAATAAGATCAACAGGCCTGGGTTATGATTCATACTTAGGGTCTATCCCCTTACATTCCCTATATGTAATGCTGGTTATATATATCTTCTCCTGCTTAATATATAACTGGTATTTACTGTATATACAATTCTGTAGGTGAACTACAGCTTGAAAAAGAGCCTTACACACTCTGGGTGTAGTGGAGGAATAATGTTAAAAACTATATTTTAATGCATAGTGTGAGACAGGAATTCAAATATGTCATGGGTTGAATGTTCAATATATTTCTAATTGGTTGTTGTGGGTTTTTCGGGCTCTTTGGCCATGTTCTGAAGGTTGTTCTTTCTAACGTTTCGCCAGTCTCTGTGGCCAGCATCTTCAGAGGACAGGAGTAGGAACTCTGTCTATGCTCTGGTGCAGTTTCTTTGGATATTACTAATTGTTTTTTCCTCTTTGATTGTAGCATGCTTTTCAGAAGGTATGCTGTTCAAAAAGAGTTTCTCCTATCAGGCCTATCAGTACAAGGCACATTCTTTAGACTGATTCTTTCTACTTTTGGACTGTGTATATTCTGCCTGTCCTTATTTCTGATTTCACCTTTGGGTGCTATAATCTTTGGTCACTGGCCATCTTGGCTGGGGCTGCTGGGAGTTGGAGTCCAGTAATGTCAAGAGAGCCGTAGCCCAGGTCAGTGGTTCTTAACCTTTGTTACTCGGATGTTTTTGAACTGCAACTCCCAGAAACCCCAGCCAGCACAGTTGGTGGTGAAGGCTTCTGGGAGTTGCAGTCCAAAACTCCTGAGTAACCCAAGGTTAAGAACCAGTGGCCCAGGTGACTGTATTGCCTACCCTATGGATGGGGAAATGTCTGTGACCCTTCAGATACAAGAAGTAAAAACTATAAAGAAAAACAGTAGGTTCACGTAGCCTAAGACTGATTTAAAGAAAAAGAAAAATGGCCAATCTTGCTTGCAAGCAGGGTGGATAATAATAAATGATTTTTTTTAAAAAAAAAAGATTTAAATCACAATTTAAATTTTAAAAATACATTTTTGAATGAGATTGTATTTTTTTTAACGTTTAAACTCGTGATTTAAATTAAATCCATCCTGCTCGCAAGTAGAGAGTACAAACCAGAAATGAAGACGTGTGTAAAGTTAGGGGTGAGAGTACATCTTACAGTCATCCAAATGGGAACACTGTCTTCATAAACCTTATGATAATCCAAATGGGGCTGCTGTTTCCAATTGCTCATTGTGACTGGAGAGACCCACTCCAAGGCTACCTAAACAAAGTCTGATTATTGAAGGGTCTTTGCATCCCTCCCCACAAACGAAAAAGGGCACATGAATGTAGTGTCCTATGTATACTTAACATTTGCATCTTGTCTTTGCAGTAATGTTTTGTTTTGTATTTTGACTCTTAATTTAGAACAACAGTTGGAACACATGAGAGACAGAGAGGAAGAATGGCTAGCCTCAGTGGTTCAAGGAACTGTGTTTTAATTCAGCTGAAATCGCTGACCAGTTGGGGAAAGTGGAGTAATCCTTACACAATTTCTACTGAAGCCTTGAATGGTCATCGGTGTCACGTGACTAAGGACCAGTCATGGAATAAGAGCAGCAGCTTCAGATACTATTTTATGACTGAAAGTTCCATCATCAAGAAAAACCTTTTTAACAAAAGCCAGGAGTATCTTTTGAATCCTAAGAATGAAGGACTGTGCAAAATTCCACACAGCTGTTGTAGAAGGCCTTATTTTTACTCTCCGCAAAAGGCAAAGGAAGCATTATTTGGAAGACTTTCTTTACAGAAGTTACAGAACTTGGGTACAGGTCAGAGTGTCCAGGTTTTCAGGCCCATTCATGTCTCATCAGCATTGAAAGCTGTTCCTCCACTTCTCGTGTGGACGGTCTTGAAGCCAATTCAGAAACTTTTTGCTATCATCCTTGGAAGGTAAATATTAATGTCACTCTGGAAATAACTAATTGTAAAGTTTGTGGCATCCTTAAGACAGAGCTAAGGAGGCTTCCAGATAGTTGATGAAAATGTTTGAGTGGAATGCAGTTTCTTAAGCTGTTTACTAAACTGGAGATTGCACCGGAATGGAGATGGGGAACCTGTGTCCCTCCAAATGCAGTTGGACTACAACTTTGCTCAGCTGTAGCCACCATAACTAGCCCTAAGGGATCATGGGAGCTGTAGTTCAACACATTACCAAGGCCTGAACTAATGTGTCCTCACCCCACATCATCCAGCAAATGATGCCAGACTAACATCATATCATCCCCCTCCCCTCCAAGTACTGTGCAGCATTGTCTCTTGCTGAAGAAATAAGCAGTTACAAGACCAATAATAGCAATTGCAATTCTTGGAGTCTTGGGTTGACAGAAGTTGGTAGGAATGAGAGAGAGAGCGCTGCCCATTCATATGTTGCTCCTTACCACCTGTTTTTCCTGTGCTGATTGAACACTTAGGAGTATGCATTAGTATTCCTAAATATTTTGATGTGTCTGTAAGACTTGAAAGCAGGCCTTGCTTCTTCTTGCTAACACTTTGTCAGTTATCTGCTTCTCTTAATTAAATTTGAGTTTTTGTCGATTATCTGCTTCTCTTAATTAAATTTGAGTTACCTTAAGGGTTGAGCACTTCCTTTATCTGCCAAATACAGGCAATTTAGTGGTACCTGATATTTATGAAGTTCCTATGCAATATGTACAGTATAGCTGAAGTTTAGCATATCACATTGTTACTCACATTAGGAAAAAAACTCATGGGAATAATAATTGTGCTGTAGGTATTAGTTGTTTGAATTAACACCCAGCTTATGCTTTAAACCTTATGTGCTCCTCCTGTGTTTTTAGTTCTCGCTCTAATAGCGGTTCATCTTCCAAATATCATGAATAAGACACATTATTGCATTTTTTCATTACTTATATGCTTATAATAAATGTGATCATTTAATTGGCCTGTTTTGTTGAGAAATACATTCTTGTGCAACTTTTCCTTGTTGATAGTTTTTTTGCTTTCCTTAGTTGTAAATAACTGAGTTCATTTTGTTTCTTTGGTGGCTTGTTGCACTTTGCCAAGCTTGAGTGAAATTCACTTGATTTGGGAAATGTATTGTCTTCAATCATTTTGTCTGCAGCTCATAAATTCACTCATCACAATGTTGTGTTGCGATACAGTGGGTATGCAAGAGGGTTACAGAGGTGCATGCATGATGCATTATAAGACACAAGCTTATGTTGATATGCACCCTATCACCATGTGCTGATAAATTCAGTTCCTGTGATCTTCCATTTCATAAAAAGAACGAGAGGGTTGCAGAAATCTAGGTACTGTACATTATGCATGTACCTGTGTTGCAATTGATTTAGGAAATGGCAGATTTTTGTGCTTACAGAATTACTTTTAGGAAGAACGAATATAACAACAGGTGTAGTCATCCATTTCTGGCCCAGAGCATCCTCCTGCTCTTACAACTTTAGGAAATTCTTGTGTTCATTTTCTTAAAAATAAGTTTCTAAGCTCTGGAGTGGTGTTTACTATTTCACCATAGTAGTTGCGTGGAGAACTACTGCAAAAAAGGAAAAGTATATTGATCATGAAGTGCATTGTTCAGGCTCATACAAGGAGCTTATGCCTAGACCAATAGATGTTCTGATTTCGAAAAGCTGACGGTGACCCTCCACTCCCACCTCCCTGCTGGGTGGCAATTACATTTGAAACCTTTCTGTAGTTTTGAAAGCAGCTTCCATTGTCAAACATTGCTATTTATAGCAGTGGTTGTAAAAAAACTGCCTTTTTTGGACTATAGCTCCGCAGATCACCCATTAAACGTTGACCTGAGTTGACTGTGGGGCTTTGAGAATTGCAATGGAGTGGGGTGGGGAGACATATCTAAGCTCTCCTACTCTGCATATTTTCAGCTCAGCGGGCACCTGTATGCACAGGCTGATCCTGTTTGTGCGCCTTCCCATTCAAATGTGCATACGTGCAAAGTTCCATGTTAAATAACTACAAATTCAGTGTTTTACTTGCTAAGGATAGTGGGCAAGCTGTCTGTGATTCTGTTCCAGTTATCAGTTGCTAGTCTCCATGTACAGTGGGGTCTTGACTTAAGAACCCCTAGTCTCCATGTATTTTGGTTGAACAGGAAGTTTCATCTGCTTATAATGTAACAGAAATAATGTAGAGGGCAGCTTCCTTTCTGAACAGGAAGCTTAGTCTACTATAGGCTTAGCTAGGCCACAAAGCCTTCATGCTTAGGCCTTTCTCCCAGTTGAGTCGCATTTGTATTTGGGCCTTTAAGTGTCTGTCTCTCAGGTGGAACTGTCAGAATGGGGAAACATGGGGTGTGTAGTCCAAAAGGTCCGAAATTCCTTTCTGAACAGGAAGCTTAGTCTAATATAGGATTAGCTAGGCCACAAAGCCTTCAAGCTTAGGCCTTTCTCTCAGTTGAGTCGCATTTGTATTTGGGCCTTTAAGTGTCTGTCTCTCAGGTGGAACTGTCAGAATGGGGAAACATGGGGTGTGTAGTCCAAAAGGTCCGAATGGCATGCCCCTACTCCGGATCTTGCTTATACCTTTTTAATTAAGGAAGAGCCTTTTTAATTCTGGTTTGATTCTTTAACGTTAAAACACCATGCACTGATGAGAATGGGTCTTTAGAGGGAGGATTCTGTTTGCCCAGGCTTACTTGAACATGGTAACATTTGTGCCTTTCAGGAGTATAAGAAAATGGTGGCGTGCTCTTCCTCCAAACAAGAAGGAATTATTTAAAGAAGCTGCGAGAAGAAATAAATGGAAAATAGCCCTTGGACTGAGTGGCTTTGGAATTATATTTATCATATTTTATTGTACTCATTTGGAGGAGACACCCCTCACTGGACGTGTACGGCTTCTAGTGTTTAGGAAAGAACAATATGCTGAATTATCGCAGATTGAGTATAGCATGGTAGGTAATTGTTAAAATAAGTCGAACCACCCCAAATAGTATTTTCTTTTGAAAATTGCCCTTGCCTTTTACATAATTCATAAGATATGGATTGGTGGATGAACTGACCTTTGTTAATGAGAATTTGTCCCAGATCTTAAGAATACCATTTGAATATTTTAAATGAAAAGAAAAAAAGAGTTGTTGGGAGCTCCAGAGTGCTTGGGGGCATCTCATGACCCTTGTAGTGCAGAAGGAGAATTTTTGAGTCAACCTCCCCCATATGCAGTATCAATCTCAGCATCTTATATGTTAAAACTTCTCTAATATATCTTTATATGGAAAGGAAAAGATAATTTTACTGTATTTAATTTTTAAAAACAAATCTCAGTCCTAAACACCAGCCCAAGTCTATTCCTAAGTTAAAATAGTTTAGCTGTCATGATTTCCTCTTCAGGAAACTGGGAATTGCGTAGGGTGAATAAGAATGTTGGAGATGTCTTGGTGTATAACTTTAAACAATTTAAAAAAAATGTCCCTCTTCTATGTAAATTAAAATAAGCTGTGCTGGTATGTAAGAATTGTTTACAATCAGGCACTTTTAATCAGATCTATAAATAGGTACAACATGGCAGTCAGGTTTTCTAGATCTCTTGATTAGACAAAGGAAATAGATTGGCATGTAGTTAAACTAGAGAGGAAGAGCTGTAGATTTAAATGGCTCAGGCCCCTCTAGTGCTCTGTTCAAGCCTTTGGTTAAAATGTGTATAGTGAACATGTGAAAGGGGCAGGAATACTGGCCCCAACTGCTTTCATTGTTTCTATTCCTGTCCATGTATGGCGAGTGAGTTTCTGAAGCCAAGAGCCTTCTCTTTCTGTAGACACTCATAATGACATTCAGAATGTTGGAAAATCAGTAGCTCTGTTCAGCTGCAGCTAAACCAGGTCCACGTACCATGCAGACAGGGTAACGGTCCAGCCCATTTCCAGTTTCCTTAATAGAAAGGCTATTCTATTAAGGATAGAATAGCCTTTCTATTATTCTGTTCTTGTCCAGATGCATCCTGATATGAACTTGATGTATTGAATAGTAGGAGGTATCTTTATACTGTCCTCCAGCTTGTGTCTACTCTGCACTCTCAGTAGAACAGTTCAGTAGAACTTAGGTGCCTGATTGTTCCAAGAACCCATGAGGACTAACTAGTATCTGATGATTGAGATGCCTTCCATTTTTGAAAATATAAAAGTCAGCCATTTCTCTTCAGTCTTGTGAAGTAGTCAAATTCCTTATAAGCAGAAGTTGCCATACTGGAAAAACAAAAAATACAATTCAAACAGTCATATCATTTTGGAAGTTCATAGCTAAACCTACATATCAGTATTTATTTAATAAAAAACAACTGGATCTACGTTTATATTGTTTTGAAATATATTTAAATCTGAACTAGAATGGTTCAGACAAGGAAAGTGGTGTCTGTTTTATACTGTTAGAATTTTTCTGCACCTTAGACTGAGGTTTGCTTCCTTTGTGTTCATTTTTTCAGTATAAAATGTCACCGAATATTATATTAGAACTGATTAGATAGACTAGATGTATGTTATGTTGTAGATGTTGCAAGAAGAATGCAGTATGCTAAATCATCTTTGGGATAGATCCATGGTAAACTGACATGGTTTGCATCTACTGTAAATACATCAGCTTTTGGGGAAAGTGCAATCAGATGTGGGTTAGAGATTCATTCATGAACTGGAGGTTAATACATCTCTTCCCCACCCCATCCCAAAAGCAGTGCAGACATGCTTTAAGAAATGGTTTCTGTATTCTGGCACAAAAATGTGTGTTTTCAGAGAAGATTTGAGAAAGTATTTTGAATTCCAAAGCTACACCAGCTATGCGTAGATGTTAGTTCCTTGCAGATTAATGTACATGTGCACATGTATTGTCTCGTTGTCTAGTCGTTTAGTCGTGTCCGACTCTTCGTGACCCCATGGACCAGAGCACGCCAGGCCCTCCTATCTTCCACTGCCTCCCAGAGTTGTGTCAATTTCATGTTGGTTGCTTCGCAGACACTGTCCAGCCATCTCATCCTCTGTCGTCCCCTTCCCCTCTTGCCGTCACACTTTCCTAACATCAAGGTCTTTTCCAGGGAGTCTTCTCTTCTCATGAGATGGCCAAAGTACTGGAGCCTCAGCTTCAGGATCTGGTGCACATGTATACCATGTATTAAAGTGTTTAAAAATATATCAGATTATACTGTGGTGATTTCATTGATTGTGACCCCATTTGATATCTGGTGATAAATGGTACGTTAGAAATAAATATACAAGCAATCAATCAAGCAGTCCATAACCTGGAGATTAGTACAAAACATAACGATGAAAAAAAGGTTGGTGAAACTTTAAAAACCTTTTGCAATGGTAAAGAATATATAGTGGACCCTCAACTTACGGAATTAATCCGTATTGGAACGGGGGCTGCAGATTGAAAAGGCTGTAGGTCAAGGCTCCATGGACCTACAATGCATTGAAAACCGATTAATCCATAACTGGCCGTTTTTGTTCCATTTTGGTTGTTTTTTCCAGTCTGTAGGTCGATTCTCCGGCTGCAAGTCGAACCTAAATTTTGCAGCCATAGAAGTCTGTAACTCAAAAAGTCTGTAAGTGGAGCCGTCTGTAAGTCGAGGGTCCACTGTATGGTTTGATGAGATGCTTTCTGTTTCTTTCCTACCAGCAGACCCATTAACATTTGCACATGGAGCTGGTTCAGGGAAAACAGAAAATCCTTATTACAGCTTCCTTGGCAACTTGTCTTGTTTCCAGGCACAATTCAAAGTGCAGCTTTGGCTCTAAACAACTTGGCTCAGGCTGTTTGAGGGACGGTAGCTCATCATATCAGCTTCCATAGGTTGCAAGATCTTTAGGAGAAGCCTTTCTTTTGTTCCCGCCACCTTCACAGATGTGTGACAGGGCCTTTTTGGTGGCTGCTCCCCAGCTGTGGAACTCTCTCCGATGGGATACAAGGCTGGCCCTAGCCCTCCTGTCCTTCTGCTGGCAGGCAAGGGCCTTATCAAGCAGGTTTTTATTATGTATGCTGATGAGGAAAGGATTGTAAGAGGAGAGTTATCTTTTTTTAAAAAAAGTGTTTACAATTTTTTTTTTGAAAATAATTTTTGTTTAGTTCCTTTTTCATGATTTTGGGGTTTTTTTGCAGTCTGATTTATTATATTTGTAATTGTTTTAATAGTGTTTTAAATTTTTTTTTTTGAAAATTATTTTTGTTTAGTACCTTTTTCATGATTTGGGGTTTTTTTTGCAGATTTATTATATTTGTAATTGTTTTAATATTTGTGTTTTTAAATCATTTGTAAGCTTACATGATCCTCCTTACAGGGAGAAAGATGGGATAGAAAATGAATTAATGAATAAATAGTTGTCTGTTGGCTGTCAATTACTCAGGAACACTGGTTCCAGTGCAGAGGAAGCAGCACTCCTTCCTTCTGAGTGAGGAAATATGTACTAACAGAGTTGGCTGTAAGAAGTTTGGACAGTACCAGGCTATCAGTACTGCTCTGGTGGAGATCTGGGAGGTGTAGTCCATTAACATTTTCCAAGCTCTGTTTGATGAACTGGTGATAGGAGAAACACATGTAACTTTGCTGGCCTTTAAGTTTAAAGATTTTCTCTCTCTCTTTGATTGAAAGAATTGAAAGAGCAGAGTTTAAGGGTATCTCTTACTTTTTTATTCCATAAAATAGAAAAATACTGCCCCTTATTTTATAATGCATGTGCCTTACTATTTGTCATTTTTCTTAAGCATTTTCTTAAGCAGTTTTTATTTGAGTAAATCCTTAAATTTCTTTCCCATAAAATATTATTTGTCCCAGGCAAGACATAACAGGGTGTTAGACCTTTAGCTCTGTGAATTGGATTACCTTCTATGTTTATTGCAGTAAAAAAAATTCCCATGGATGTTCATGTATTTTGTCTCTATTGCAGTTTTTTCTGATACAACCAATATACTGTATCTTCCTTTTTTCTGCTCTTTTTAAAATTCCAGTGGGTAGAAGAATATAAAAACGAAATGCTTCCAGAAACCGACCCTCTTTACCAGGCAGTCAAAAATACTGTTATTCACCTGGCTGAAAGCAATAAAGATATCCCAGAAGTCTCTGAGTTTCAATGGAATGTCCATGTGGTGGAACATCCAAACATGAATGTTTTCGTACTTCCCGTAAGTAGGCATTGAAAACAAAGGTAAAGTGATAAGTCATCAAACAACAGCTTGTTCACAGTACAGCGGAACTTCTGCTTACGAACTTAGCCTGTCCCAGAAGATGTTCGTTAGTTGAAACGTTCGTAAGTTGAAGGAAAACTTCCCATAGGAATGCATTGAAAACCATTTAATCTGTTCCGGCTGTTTTTGGTTCTTATCTAGAGGCGCCGTTCTTAAGTCGAAGTATTAGTTCCCATAGAAATGAATGCAAAGCCGGTTAATCCGCCCTCTACCACTAGGGGGAGAATTTTTCTTCTTTTGACCTAAAATGAACTTAGGTCAAAAAAAGGGCAGGAAAGGAGGGACAGGGGAGGGAACACCTTTTAACCCAAACACCTTTACAAACAAGCACCTTTTAAAGAAAACCAAGCACCTTTTAGCTTAAAAAAGGGACAGGGGAGGGGGGAGGAGGGATGGAACAATGGGGAAAAGAAGAAAGAAAGAAAGAAAGAAAGGTCATCACTGGGGCACACAGACCCCTCAGACAAGGGTTTGTGCTGTTAAGCACAAAAAGAGAGAAGAGAGAGAGAAGACAAGGAGGGGGAGCCTTACTCTACAGTAGACTCCTTTTAAAAACTCCATTTAAAACTGCATTTTAAAGCCTTCCTGCATAAGTTGGATTGTTCATAGGTAGTGACGTTCGTAAGTAGAGGTTCCACTGTATGTTTCTTTTCTTTTTCCCTGCAGAATGGACAGGTGTTTCTTTTTACTGGCATTTTTAATGCTGTGTCAGATATCAATCAGCTGTCTTTCATTTTGGGACACGAAATGGCTCATGCTGTCCTGGGACATGCGGTAGGCATTGCTTCTTCAAATAATAATAATACAAGAAATTCTCACAAAGTGGAATTGTGGGGGTGGTTGCCAGTATGGAGGCGTATAAAGTTCACTGTCTCGTTTGTTTCTTAAAGTTTTATAACTAATGCTCCGTGTGGGGTGTTATTTAATGAATTACCATAATTAAAAATCTAGGGATGTGCAGTGCCGCTAAACAGGGCTTACTCTTCGTGGGAACCAACACAGAAAAGAGAGTTCTGCCAGTATCTATCTTGCGCTTTGGGCTGTATTTTCACATGTGTCCTTCTATTAAGAAGAATCCTTTATTCACTGTTAAAATGTCTTGAAAACTGCCATGATGACCCAGAAATGGCATACTTTCATTGTTAATGGGTTTTACACCTGCTATTTAAGGAAAAGACTCTTCCTTATTGCTCCTTCTATTGGTACAACATGGCAGTCAGGTTTTCTACTTTGTCTCAGAACTGCTTTATGACGGGTGGGTGGGGGCACATGTTACCTTTCAAATGTTGCTTGACTACACCTGTTAAGGCCTAGCCAGCATAGGTGATGGTGTGGGTTTGGTGGGAGCTGTCCCCTACCTTGGCTTTATAGCAACCACTCTTTTTTTTCTGGCAACGAGTTCTTTGAAGTATTTTTGTACACACAATTAAAACAAATCTTTCTGTGAAATGTCTCTGTGGGTTGGCTGTGAAGAAGACCTAGTGGCTTGTGCTACTTTTGCTGTGGCTACCCCATGAGAATTACAGCTTTTGGGCAACACGACAGCTGCCACCAATTCTTTCCCTTTGGCAGGACAGTTGCTGTATGACAAGCCCATGATATACTTAGCTGTGGTAGCTCAAATCGTGACAGTGGCTTAAGCGTGACACTCACTGTGTTTGTTGTAAGGTGGATTGTGTGTAGGCTATCTTTCTCCACAGTTGAGCAAGGATATGCCTTTAATCTGAATCTTCAAATTTTATTCTGAAGGTAGCTTTGTCAGAGGTTTTAGGTATCTTTTCCTTTCCTTTCTGCCTTCAAATAGCTTTCATGTTGATGAGTTGGAGGGTGGTTTTTAATTTTTTTTCTTTGTACTTCCTTTAACTAATGATTGAATATAGAATGTTATGCCTATATCTATATAAAATTACCACATAATTAAAAAAAAACAACCAACCAACTATTTTTTTCAGGCCGAGAAGGGAATTCAAATTTTATTCTGAAGGTAGTTTTGTCAGAGGTTTTAGGTATCTTTTCCTTTCCTTTCTGCCTTCAAATAGCTTTCATGTTGATGAGTTGGAGGGTGGTTTTTAATTTTTTTTCTTTGTACTTCCTTTAACTAATGATTGAATATAGAATGTTATGCCTATATCTATATAAAATTACCACATAATTAAAAAAAAACAACCAACCAACTATTTTTTTCAGGCCGAGAAGGGAAGCGTGGAACATATCTTGGATTTCCTGTCACTCATTCTTCTTACAATGATCTGGGCTGTCTGTCCCCGAGACAGCTTAGCAATAATAAGCCAATGGATCCAGGCTAGATTCCAGGAGGTAAGCTCATCAGCTTTTGCATTCTCTGTGTAGTGGCCATGCTAGCTGGAGGATTCTTAAGAGTTGTGTCCCAGCCAGTCACATTTTCAAGGTCTGAACAAGTTGGTGCCCATGATAGACCTTGGGACTGTGCTCTTGGGTTCATGTCAGTTTGAATATGAATAGTTTTGGTATGACTTTTAACAACCAACCAACTATTTTTTTCAGGCCGAGAAGGGAAGCGTGGAACATATCTTGGATTTCCTGTCACTCATTCTTCTTACAATGATCTGGGCTGTCTGTCCCCGAGACAGCTTAGCAATAATAAGCCAATGGATCCAGGCTAGATTCCAGGAGGTAAGCTCATCAGCTTTTGCATTCTCTGTGTAGTGGCCATGGTGGTAGCTGGAGGATTCTTAAGAGTCGTGTCCCAGCCAGTCACATTTTCAAGGTCTGAACAAGTTGGTGCCCATGATAGTAGACCTTGGGACTGTGCTCTTAGGTTCATGTCAGTTTGAATATGAATAGTTTTGGTATGACTTTTCATTTGTGAAGAGGTTATAAAGAACTCTGTCAGTCTGCTTAAATATACAATATTACAGGGAACTCATGACGGAGGCAGGCCCATGCATTTGTGTACTATGTGCATCTCAAGGTGGTTTTCAAGGTGGATAAAAATCAGTGATTTTTTTAAAATATACAATATTACAGGGAGCTCATGACAGAGGCAGGCCCATGCATTTGTGTACTATGTGCATCTCAAGGTGGCTTTCAAGGTGGATAAAAATCAGTGATTTTTTTAAAAATCTAATTGATTTAAATCGTGATCATGATTTAAAATTAAAAGTATTTTATTTAAATTATCAAAAAAAGTTTGATTTTTAAATTTAAATAATGATTCAAATCAAATATACCCTGGTGGCTTTAGTGTTAGTCAGTAGTTTCTGAAAAATGATTGGTCTGATTCATGAAGAATACAAGAACTTCTGAACTTTGGATGAATGTTAGGAAATGGAGTATTAAGTCAGTTCCCTGACTGCTGCTATGAATCAGTAATATTTTTCTTATAAACTTATTCTAGTGGCCTCGGGCACAATGCTCAGTGGAATATACTTGCCTAAAATCAATAATTTAAATTCTACTAGAACATTCATCACCTGCAGTGTTTATTCACTGAAGAATGGCATGCATTTTGCAATTGAACTTCCTTCTTTTTTTAAATTCCTTTTAGTGTTTTTAAAGGTTTAGATTGAACAATTTAAATATGATCTAGGTTTTTTAACTTCCGTTGAGCCAGTGCTGTGCTATTTTAATGTCTTTGTGCAAAACTCTGATACCTGAAACACTCAATACAGAACATTGAGTGCCTTGAGATCCTTTGACTTGGCTTCATTTGGCTTAGTGTTACAACGATTATTACCCAGAAACAGAGAATAGAATAAATAGCCTTGCTTTCCCTGCAAATTTTCTTATTGCACTTGAACTTCCTGCCAATCAGGAGCGCAATCAGAGATGTAGGAAAAGGCAGTTCAGTCTCCTAACCTAAAATGGCCAAGAGGATTGTCAGGATGATAAACGATGCTTCAGCACCATGTTTTCTTTATAGTGCACATGTTGCCAAACCCAGTTCTTTGCTTTATATCACATTTTGGCACTTCCTTTCACTTTGTGTACCAAAAATGGAAAATACCTAGGGTAGTACTTTTTAAATCACCCCTCCCCCCACACGCAAAATAGGTATGCCAAGAAATTTTGCACTAAGTAGAAACCAATGATCCTCAGGTTGACAATTGGTAGTATCTACAGTTTTTTAAGCTGGGTATGATACTGCTTTTTCTAACATGGCATTTATATCAGCAACTACTTGTTCCCAATCACTGTTGTGGAGATGATAGGCATTTATTATGACTCGGTAGCTTGAAAACAGTTTATCTGTGTGGCCCTATTAGACTTACACTTAGGATGAAACATGGCTAAATCGGATTGTTACTCCCATCTGTGGGAGAGCTATTCAATAAACAGAGCTTAAGAAAGTCCCATTGATTCTGTGGCTCTACTTTAGTTGAGACAACAGTTGCATTTAGGCCGTAGTGTTGACAACAACAAAGATTAATATGACATAAGAAGACCGAAGGTGCGAATTGAATATAAATGACTGAAAGTAGTAAGTCACAATTAGAGTAGGCCCATTGAAGCAATGGAACTTGCAGAGGAGTTGACTCACCAAATCTCCACTGATTCAATGGGTCTGTTCTAGTTGTAATGTACTTCTGGGTGTCAGCTAATAATTGCATTTAAATAGTTAAATACTTATTGAAATGTGCCTGTTAGGTTTGGTGAACTATACTTGTCAAGTAGGATCATGGTGTTATCTGGGGATATAATCCAAAACATGACCCTGCGTGTTTTGGCATCCTCTGAAACAGCATGGAAGATGAGGCAGACAAAGGGAGAAATAAGCAGAACTTGCCTTTCCTTTCCAGTTAGTGGGAATGGCCTGGGCCGGACTCTGCTGTGGGAATAGGTCTTCCTGGCAGGAGGAAATAATGGAACCAACCTGGTGAAATTTGGAAGTGAACACAGGGAAGCTTGAAAAACATGGGAAACCTTCCATATTAGAATGCCTTACTTAACCAGAAAAACAATTATGAGGGGATGTGTTTTGAGGTTTTAAAAAAGGGCTTAGACTGGAGGAGAAATTAATAGGCCGTCTCTGTTGGTTTGGCTCATAATCCTCTCTAGACTAATAGGCACCTGGTGAAATTAAAACTCAGCAGCTTTTGAGAAGAGTGTATTTTTCACATGATCTACAGCTGTATGGGGAGTACCTTCCTGGTAAAAGAGATCCACATGAGGGCAAGATATTATTTATTTATTTGAAAAACTGCATCCTGGGAGTAGTTCATAAAAATGTCCAAATCTTAGTATGGCCAATATTATTTTGAACCCTTTGAAAAAGAGGGGAGTATGCTCCTGAAATACGCAGTTTGTAAAACAAACAAACAAAAATAACCCATGGATTTTTGAATTATTTCAAGTGAGAAACAGGATACAGTACTCATTTGAAATGACGGTCAGTTATAAATTTGGCATGAAAACAAAGCAAAGCTTGGCAGTGTTGTCAAAAGTTAATAGTAGAAAAATTCAAGATGAAAATGAGGAAGTGGGAATGGATGGATGGCAATAGCACAGAGTGTAGGGTGGGGTATCTTTCACAGCCATCACTTTGTTATTAATGAGGCTTGTGGAATATACCGTATTTTTCGCACCATAAGACACACTTTTTTCCCACAAAACAGGGTGGAAAGTCTGTGCGTCTTATGGAGCGAAGAAAACAGATTATATTTTCCTGTTTTCTTCTCCTAAAAAATTGGTGCGTCTTATGGAAAGGTGCGTCTTATGGAGCGAAAAATACGGTAGGTTTGGGCAACTGTCAGAATGCCTGTTAACAAAGGTTGATTTTTTTAAAAAAATCATAATTCTAGTGCAGAGGTTTTGAAAATGTGTGGGCAGTTTTTAGCAACATTTCAGGAGTTGGGTGGAAGGTAGATGTGATCTAGACAGGAGTTTCAGACTTCAGGATGGAAATGTGTCATATGGAGTCATCCCTTCTTCTGGCAGTTATTCTCTGCCATTTCAACACTTGATTTATTCTGGCTCTCTGATCTTTACTGCACCCTGCTGGGCTCCTCTTCTTACCACTCTCTTTTAAAAATCAATTCCATTTTCCTTGGATACTTGAAAACAATTCTAAATAAGCATATGCATGTAGATTTGCTTATATGCATTCTGATTCAACAGTATTCCAACGCATCTTTTCCATCTGGCTTATGTCCCAAGCCTCTTTCTCTCATCCATGTATGTGTCTATCTGTCTATGTCTGTAGGCCAGATGGAAATAAATGTTTCACAGAAAATTTTAGGGGGGCATATGATACCAATTTGAAATGTCTGAAAGATTGCTGTGAAACAGAGAAGAACATTTGGAGAAATGAGACATTCTGGTCTTTCTTTCAAGGCCACTGAGAGGAGGATCAAAATGTGGGTGTTACGTATTTAGGTGGATTACTGGAATTCGTAACTGCACATTTGGTACAAACCTGAGCAAGGAGGCAAAGAAACTTATGGAAATCTTCCACTTAGTGGATGGGAATTAGTCAGCAATGATTTAAATCTAGCTTGTTGTAGTTACTTATTTCTTTGTTTGATTTGTTCCCCACCTTTCTCTTGCGACTGGAAATGCTTCCTATTCTCCATGTGTGCATTTTCCAGTCATCGTGAGATTTGTTGCTGACCAAAATCTTAGAAATATTTAGTTTGTTAAAATGATATGTTGGGGCATATCTTACAACTGTGTGCTGTATCGACTAGTAGATCTTTTTAAAATTATTGTTGGACAAATGTACAGTCGTAAACAAAGTTATTAAACCCTCATTGCAAATCAGATTTATCCTCAAAATGTACAGATGTTTAAAATCAATGAAGCAAGTGAAAGCAATTGAAATAGGTCAACACAGCAGATGCTTCCAGTGGTTTCCCCAAATGCAACTGAAAATGCAACTTTTCATGAATTCTTCAGTCTCAGAATTATTCAGCCCCTTTGTGGCAAGCATCTTTAGTACGTAGTAGAGCACACGTTTGCTGTTATGACCTGTTACAAACAAGATGCAGAACCAGACACTAGCTTTTGGCAGTGTTCCTGAGGAATCTTAGTCCATTCCTCATGACCAATGGCCTCCAGTTTTGTAAAATTATTGGGTTTGCGTGCTGCAACCACCTTCTTCGCATACCACTAGAAATTTTCTGTGGGGTTCAAGTCAGGTGACTGTGATGGCCACTGTAGAACTTTCCTGGACTTCTGCAACCAAGCCTTGGTGGAGTTTGAGCAATGCTTAGGATCATTGACCTGTTGGAAGGTCCAATGATGGCCAAGCTTCAACTTCCTCACAGACTGCATTATTTATCCTAGGATTTCCTGATGCTTCAGTAAATCCATGTTGGCTCCCAATGCTACATGTTTTCAGTGCCAGAAGATGCAAAGCATCCCCAGAGCATCACTGAGCCGCCACCACGCTTAACTGTAGGCAGGGTGTTCTTTTCAGCATATGCTTCATTCTTCCTCCAGACGTACCACTGATCCATCAGGCCAAAAAGTTCCAGTTTTATTTCATCACTCCACAGAACAGAATCCCAAAACCTCTGTGGCTTATTTATGTGATACTGAACATACTGGAGCCAACTTTTCTTGTGATCTTGGGACAGTAGTAGTGTATGTCGTGGAGTTCTGTCATGGAAACCTTCTGCGTGTAGTATGCGCCTTACTGTGCAAACCGAAACCTCAGTGCCTGTTGCCACCAAGTCTTGCTGGCGTCACTCAAGGACTATTCTTTTGACCTAGCCATATTTCTAACATGCAGAGAAATGTGACATTTACCAAGCCCCATAGCCAGTTCAGGTATTTTATATGTTGCAGCTCAAGCAGACCCGGTGCAACTAATAAAGCCCTTGATTAGTTGCATCAGTTATGCACGAGGAAACACCTGTTTCTCAAATTTGTGCTGTTGTGATGGATTCTTTTCAGGGGGTTTGAATAATTTTGAGACTGTAAAATTCATTAAAATTGCATTTTTTGTTGAATTTGGGGAAACCACTTGAATCATTAGTTGTGTTGAGCTATTTCAATTGCTTTTCGTTTGATTTGTTGGTTGCAAACAGCTGAAAGTCTGTAAATTTTGACAATAAATCTGATTTGCAGTGGAGGTTGAATAATTTTGATTACAACTGTACTTGTATCAGAATTAAGGAATCATAATAGGAATTAGTGCTAAGCTGCAGAATACAGCAAGTCAAATGTTTGGCTACTTAGCAGTGCCTTTCATGCAGCTATAAATTGAGTCATATCTTAAATTAACCAGAAAAATGGTTCTTTTTGAAACTTATTAGAAAGTGAATAGAGAAACCTTTCTATTTATTACACATAGGTTGGATAAACAAAAGCAGACAGGCAAGAACAAAGTTATGGTGTTTTTCTTCCCCCTTGCAGTTACTGTTCAATAGACCATATAGCAGGACCTTAGAAGCTGAAGCAGATAAAATTGGACTTCTGTTTGCTGCTAAGGTAAGAATACTTCTTTTGATACAGTTGTAGAGATTCCCCGTATTTCATTTTAAATAGACTGGAGTCATCAACAAAAATTGGAGGGAGTGGGGGAATAGGAATCAAACTGTATCAGCACTGCCACCTAGTGTTAATAGTGTATATTTTTAGAATTTCGGTTTATCTTGGTTACTTTTTGTGTAGGCATCCTTCAGTCTCGAGAGACTATGGTAACATAAAGGCATTATACAGTTCTAAAACAGTTATGAAAGTTAAACAGAGCAGTCTTCAGCAATTGCCTTTTATTTATTTGGTTTATTCACCAATCAACTTGAACTTGGAACAAACAGCAGGGATCGCTCACTTAGGTATCTGTCTGTGGAGCCAGAGGGGTTCGATTCCCCACGATGCCTCCTTGACAAGGGATGGACTCGGTGATCCATAGGGCCCCTTCCATCTCTGCATTTCTAAGATGATTAAGATAATTAGACAGACTGTATTGAAACAGACCTGTGAAAAATAACACAGCATGTAGTCTCAATGGCTATACATATATGTGTGGTGTAGCAGCTATGAAAGAACACAAGATGCATTTATGTGAAACTGCTCCTTGGAGAATTACAGTAGTTCTTTCACCACGTTGCCACAAACCCCCTTCTTGGGTTTTGCAGTGGTCTAGTTAAATTTGCTGTAGTGATAGGAGCAACATCCTTCACAATCCCGAGCACCTTTCTGACACTGATCGCATGTGTGCTTCAGACTTGATCTCATTCACTGGAATGAGTGAAGCTACTGATGTTTTCGCTACACTTCGTCAATTATTTTTTCCAGGAACAGGTGGAAGACATACTTTTTTGAAAGCCATTCTGGTGTAGTTTAGTCTGGCAGGTATTTTACCTCTCCCAACAAAGTAAACATTACAGATAGCTTTGCACATCGTTTTCTATTGAACGGCCAGGATCTTGTTCAGGCAAACTGATAACAGAGTGAACCGAGCAGCACGGTGTCTATACTGCTTGTTCAAGGAGGCAAGCATTTACGCTGCTTGTGCGCAGAGATATACATTACCTCCTTGCACCAAACATAAGGTGGGCTTTCTGAGTTGGATGCAACATTTGTGAGATAGCTGTGCTTGTGTAAGTGAGGCAGTTCCATGATCCTTTGATGGCAGGGCTTTCCTCTCACCAGTCTCAATAAGATCAGGACTTGTACTTATTTCTATTTTATACTGCTTAAAAATCTTTTGACATCAGCTGTTAACATTCTTAATGTGCCATCAGGTCAATTCTGGCTTACAGTGACCCTCCCAAGGTTTTCTAGGTATAGGGTGCTCCGAAGTGGTTTACATCTATGCGGCTTGGCCCAGGCCACACGGACGGCAGGGCATGTGACTCCATCCACCACACATGCTCCAGATTATCTTGGCTGGCCCCCTTCCCCTGGAGGGACAGCAGATCTGTAACCAGATGCTAAATGAATTCTTGTCAATATGTAAATAAATAACAGCTTGTTAGATGAGATTTTTCAAAGAGCTTGATTTTTACTGCTGTTTTCGCATGTGGATTGGGTCAGAAAAGAGCACTGTATGGTTTTTAAGCCGAATAGAAATTCCTCCCACCCAGTAAAGCTCCTTTTTGTCTTCCTACAGTGCCTTGTTTCTTTGTCTAGAGCATTTTATAAGTCTGTTTCAATTTCTTCTGCACTGCTGCAGCAGTTCCTTCTTTGCCTGTAAAGGTCAAGATCTTAACCCAGATGGTTTTGCTTCCTTTAGCATAATTGGATATCTCCTCCTCTGATGTTCACATATGTGCACAAATGCCACCTGTTCCATTTCAAGAGTAGCTTGTATTGGCAGACACTGGGTCTTTTCCTTATGACTGGAGTTACTGTCTCATGTAGCTTTATTTTTAAAACTTAAAAAAATAAGTATGGATTAAAAAGAAATTGTCTCCCAATATTAATTTTCAAGCGATTGCTGCCTTTACTCTGCACTCAGACATATGTTGAATTATGACCAGGCATAGCAATTAACTTCACTAAGCTCCAGCCCTTCATTTGATTTAAGATAAATTTATTAAACAGGAATGGGAGATTACTTTGTTAAAACTTCCTCCCGTAGTTATTTTTAATCCTGCAAGTAAAGCAGCTTGCTTTTAATAATCAATATTGGAGGTCATTCCAAATTCTAGAACTGCTTTGATTGTCATAATGTTGAAAGGGGTACATTGATGCACAGCTGAGATTTCTGTTTTCCAGATGTCTTCTGGAAAGCAGTCTGCACTCAGTAATACAAATAGGATGATAGGAAACATATTTCATAAATGTGGTACCGTCGTGTTGTGGCTCTTTGGGATGGGGCGTTTATCATCTCTCAAATGAAAACACTAAAGAGAAGCGGAGGAGCACGAAAGCTGAGCCTGTGAGGGGCACGCTGCTCAGCACAACATTGTTTAGGGAGGGATTCCCCACCCTTTGCCAAAATAGCCAGGTGGGGAACGGGGCTTTTCTCAAGGTTAAATAACCAAGAAAACCCACTCCGGCACTTGTCATCACATTCCATGAATTTCACAACTTTTGACTTGTGTCTTCTTTTACATTGTTGATGTATGTGCCTTTTTCTGCTATGATTTGATTTTTTCCACATACCCCTAAAAGTCCTGGTTCATACCCCTGGGGATATGCATACCCCAGGTTGGGAATCACTGCCCTAGTTCCGCCTTCTGAGGTGCCCCCCACCGCCCAGAAGACCCAGCGGCATTGTAAAATAATGCTTCCTAGTTCTGTCTCAGAGAGCTATCCTAGGAGGAGGTCATGCCTTATGTATGTCATTAGTTCTGCTCTGAAAAATATCCTGGAACTATGTTTCCCCTGTCTTCCCCCTGTTCCCCCTGCTGTACCACTAGCAACAGCATCCCTGGCCCATTGCAATTTGTACTTGAACAAACAAGTGGAAAAGGCCGTATTAGCAAGAATTCTAAACTTGCTGTGCGGAGTGTTTCTGAGAGCCTTCTGTGCTTCTCTTTGCTTCTAGGCTTGTATGGATGTGAGAGCAAGTTCTGTACTCTGGCAGCAAATGGAACTAACTGAGACTATTCTGGGGCACCCAAAGGTGCCAGAATGGCTTTCTACACATCCTTCACATGAAAATCGAGTTGAACATTTGGATAGACTTATACCTAAGGTAAGCTACATTTTTAAAAGATGCTCTGGGATCTGAGGAAAACAGAGGAATGGTGGCAAAATTATTTATTTATCTCACATCTGTATCCCCTCATTTCTAAGACCTTCAATGTGCTATATTATTTATTTATTTA